TTTGGATCTCCGGTGTAGATGAAAACGTGCACACAAGATGTCGCCGTCGGCCCTTGGTACCAGTTAAATCGTCTGTGTCATCTGTGGTTGACTGGACGGATGAGGAGGAGGTTTCATTTGTCATGAACACATATAAAGTATTATCAAATGTCATAAACAGGAATACAATTTACAACCCTGTCACTACCATGGCAAACACGTCACTGACGGAAATCACTAACATCACCAACACAGACTTTAATTCAAATAGACAACTATTCGGACAAGAAGTTTTTGCATGGGTTTCGACAGTTATAGCCGTGTGTGGTGTGTTTGGGAACATTCTCGGAGCGGCTGTCATTCATCGTATGCAAAAGACAACCAGTGGTGTGCGGCTCTTGAAGTATCTCTCACTCACAGACATGGTTCTGCTTCTATGTATTTTCTTGTCATCAATATTACCTTCCTTTAACAGACAAGCAGCAAGTACATTACATGCAATTTTTAACCCGTTTGCATACCTATTGGGAATGACACTATATACATTTGAAATTTACCTCACGGTCCTCATAGCGATCCAACGATGCATAGCGATCGCTTTACCATTCAAGTCTGGATCCTTCTTACGTGAGTCTGTCGTGAACAAGGCGCTTGCGGCCATATCCGTGTTCACCATTGTATTCAATGTTCCACTGTGGCTTGCACATTGGCCACAACCCTACTGGGACATGAATTTGAATATGCAGTTGTTTACATCAGACCAACACTGGGGATTTCTTGGAGAAGATGGTTTTAATGTGTATATTGGTCCCGTTCTTTTGGTGTTTCGATGTATAATTCCTTTGATCCTACTAGTAACGTGTAATATAATTCTTATGATCTCAAGACGAAGAATGAACAATGGAAATCCCCAGTCATCGGACAGAGGAAGTGTCCAGTTGACGGCGTTGGTCATGGCTATTACAACAATGTCTGTGGTAACCCATGTTTTCTCTGCAGTAGATCTGTTTTTAATGGTAATTGACTCAAAAACGACCACTGATAACTGGACCAGTGTTTCAACATGTTTGTTAATCATCAACTGTTCAACAAATTTCATATTCTATTACTCATTTGGGAAGTCTTTTCGACAGAATTTCAAATCATGTTTCCCATCGAAAGATCAAGCACAGTGTTGAAAGTGATTATAAATGTATGTTATATTGCTGCAAGTCCCAGAACTATGACGAATAGAAATACAGACTTAGCTCTATGGGCGCTGATTAAGACACAAAGAGAGAGATATTGCTGGGTCCAGCACATGCACCACCAAATCCTTGACTCAAAGATCAACCATAGTCATTTATATTCACAGCCTGAAAGTATTTGAGACAAGCGGAAGTAATAACACGTGGATTCTCAAAGACTCAAAGGATTTGCTTGTACTTTACCAAGTTCAATTATATCTTGACTTTTCAACAATGTTCGGTTCCACATGGAAACTGCATTACTTTATCCATGTGGCACTTGTCAATTAACATGGTGACAATAGATATAGTTACATCTTTTCCGTCAAAGGTTCCAGAATTGTTTTCAAGAATGAAAGCAAGCGGCTTCTGAAGTTTACTGAGGAAACAATGTGTGAAATGTTGGAATTTCTCACAGACAATAACATATATATTTGAAATTTACGTACAGGATATTGAGGCAAGAAGCAGGCAACCCTATGAGTATCAATTGTGCTCCCTTCCTTGCTGTTTCTTTTTGCATATAAACCGAATTTCTGGATTGGCAAAATCAAAACAAAGGAATTTGGCCGAGAATATATAGGTCAAAAGGTCAATTCCCTTCCAGTGATTTATCCACTTGAGCTAGAAATAAGAGAGACCAATGAAAGCGGCTCATCTGTTTCATGTTTGTATCTAATAGATATGCATAAAGAATCAGAGTGGCAGAAAGACTATCCATAGGACTGTATGACAAGGGGTATTTTGAGGTTCAATCGAACACGCTCTTTCTACGATGCAATACGACTCTTGCTGTTAAGTTGTTTGATCAAAGTTACAACATTCATGGCTTCAGTAATAAACGGTCTCACGTTTGTAGAGTACTAGTATAGATCCTAAGGCTATACCTGTTCGTAATCATTGGACTGTCGGCATGCCTCCAAGTGGAGATTTTAACATTGCGTAAATTTAACTAGGGTTTGTTTAATTATAGTGTGATCCTAGCAAATAAACGTTGTGGTGTCTTTATTCATATTTTTATATGGTTGTCGAACTTGTCGAGCATACTAAAGCTTTCCTCACATTGTGTTTTCCTATGTACGTGTGATTGTGTTTATTAAAGTGAGAATTGAAGAGTATTGGCAAATTCAGTGTCTGATTATCACTAACAAACATCTAGTATTGTTTATGAGTTATTGGGGGAGTTAATATTGTACGTGTCAATCACCAGTATTCCTGCTCTGCCTCGACAGATTTTATATAATCGAGCCTTGACAAGAAAGATCATTGGTTGATGATACTGATCCACACTGACAACACAATCAGCCAGGTCAAGAACTGTCCGCAAACCTATCATCTTTACATGGCTCCTACGACAAGCATGGATTACTTCATGGCGCCTTTTCTGCTTCGGAAACCCTTATGACCCAGATCCTTTGCGCTGACCAGTGGTTGATAAAATCGTTAATAAAAGCGACAGAACCCTTTACATGGTGATCAGACATCTCTGCTACAAACAGAGTCTATTTTTGTACGATTCCGATTGTATCATGAGCATGTGAGCATTATGAATCACTATCAAATAGTGATGACACCAGGTGTTCGCGAAAAGTTGAGCGTATCCTGTCCCACAGGTTCAACCCGTAACAATCACATGCAAAGGCAAGTCAATTGTTCACCTGAAAAACCACACGGTAACATATGCTACAAGTCAAAATAGGAAACTGCATCTGTACATACTCTTTGTCACTGATGCGTCAAATTTGGAAATGTCCTCCACATGTCTACCATGAAATTATCACATGTCCAATGAAACCACAAGGCCTATGAAGCTGATAATTTGCATTGATGATCACAGCTACAGTGTCTCAAAACATACGTTCACAGAATTCTGATTTTAAGCATTGAACTATTGAAAAAATGTCATATTTGCCCATCACCCATTTATACATGTGTCATTATGAAATTTGACGTGCTGGAAAAATGTGCTAGGTAGAATAACATGTTCTGTGCAGTTTGAATTTTGACCCAACTATAGACTTTGACCTTCTAATACCCCTATTTGGGGTCCTTTCTTTGTTTTTAAAGTTGAAATTTTGTGACCCTTGCAACATTGATATCTCACAACATTCCGATTTGAGGACAAACATAGCTGCCCTGGGGACATTGCAAGGTCAGTCTGTATTAAATATGTTCGATTCTCGAGATCTCATTCTACACTTCGGTTCTTTATTTTATTTTCGTTTTTTCTCTCATCATTTTATGAGAGACATATCAAACAACTCGTATCAACTGGGTCTTACAATGTTTTGAAAGCCCGGACGAGTAGCTGTAAACTGAAGTTTCAAGTTTCAGATGTATGGTGACCTTGACCTTCCATCAGGTGCTCCCCTAAGGGCAGCCTCTTTCGCAGCATACCCAGGAAACCAGGCTCCCCTTAGGAGAGCACACTCAATCACCAAGTGTCAGTTCTTTTTGCAGCAATTCATGTTTTTTATCGTGTTTGGAAATACTTCTTGTGAAAGGGATACAGATATGATTTCCTCTAAACCCTTGTATCAGTAAGATACATTCTTGTTGAGGTGAGGTGAAATGGGGTTTAACGTTGCGTCCAAGATTATTGCACTTATATGGCCACGTGCATGCATGAGTGTGTTTGTGTGTGTGTGTCAGTGGCTGCTTGTACGAATCCGAATGATGCCCATATATGGTGCTAGCACACTGCGATACCATGCCGCAGTTAACATAAATACCCCACTCACAGTATACTGACTCTGAGCCGACCAGTTTTAGCCCCTTTAAGCCCCCTAATGCCGAACATCAGACAGGGTAACGACAAGTCTTAACTTATTTTGGTATGACGCTGCCAGGGATCGAACCCGGGACCTTTCACTCTCTGAGCGGACGCTCTGCCACTAGACCATGGAGGCTGTCGATACATTCTTGGAGTTGAGCTTTAAAGGGAATGCGAGACCAGAAGAGTGCTTTCAAATCAGCACATATAACCTGGATGTTTTCAGGTTTCTTTTTGTCTGGCAATTTTGTCAAATATACTCTTCAAAAAAAGAAACTTGACATAGATGTAAAACCACTTTTTGCCAAATATCTAAAATAATTACATTTAATGAGAACCAAATAAGTCAAACAGAAAGATGATGTGTCTATAATTCGCGAAAACATTATGGTTTCTGTGTCCTATTTTTATTACATTTTGAAAGTCAGTGTCAAGTTTCTATTTTTGAAGAGTATACTATTATATTGTTGATGCTGCAGTGCGTGCGTGTGACCTTCTTACCTGGTATCTCCAAGGGGTTTTCAAATTAGTCGCCTAGAAATATTGGCGCATTGTACTGTGTCCCCACAATGTTACATCATTGTAGACCGAAGCCTAAACCTACATGCGTCACAGAGGCCAGGCAGGATCTTTATCTTATTAAATTGTCCCCATACATTTCCCTTTGCCACGTCCATAAAGGTCTGTTTCAGTTTACAGAGGGACAAGAAGACTGAGCGAGTGAGTGAGGTGAATGTTATTCCACTTTGAACAGTACTTTCACTGTGGAGTGTAAGCGCAATGTAGGAGACAAACTGTGTGGTGCAGTTGGTAGATGTTTGTTTTTTACCTTCCAGCAACCCATGAGCACGGGTAAGAGACTGACGAACCAAGGTTCATTATCTGAATGGGGTATTCAAACCCACCCTCAGTCGATGATTCCACAACTAAGGGAGGCAACTGTGCACAGCATATTTCTGTGCCTTGGAAGACTGGGCCACCTAGACCCCTTGTTAAACTTGGAAACAACACCATACACCTTCTGTTGTAGGAAACAACACACATATTTTATTGGTTCTTAAACTAAGCATGCTTTATTGACACCTACTGACAATGATCAATTTCAATTGTGCAGATACTTTCCGGTAAATAAAAGTCAAGTCATTTGTACAGATAAGTGCACAAAAACAGTAAAATAAGCGATTGAAAAAAATGGATTTCCTCAAATTAACAAACAGGACAAGGAAAATAACTTCAAATCAACACAATCAACAAAATCAACACAATGTTCACATAAATACATGATAAATATTTGTGTAAACCAGAGATTCAGGACTCCTGCATTGTGTTTGAATGGAAATGTGGTCAAGGTGATCTATAAAACTATCCATAAAAGTATTAACCACGTCATGAAAATCCTTGTCTTAACCCATTCAAAACATTTGTAAAACATACACAAATTTCAGTACATATAATTATCTTAAAATAAATTTCATCAGTGAAATTTTATCCTGGAAATTGTGCAATGCTACATTTACATAAACTGTCAACAAGTACCATCTTCCCGAGGCAAGGGAGTTAACTGACTTTATAAACCTATCACCACATTACCCTATATTGCATTGGGTTCCTGACAACCTCGGGAAAACCTAGTAACCAGCTCATCTATCAAACCCAGGTTTTGAAGCGGTTCTCTTCCAAACCTGGGTTTTAAATAGATCACTTCTGAACCTGCTTTGAAGTTTTACATTTCAATTGTAATACCTAGGTTTTACAATTGACTTTTCATAAACTGGCCTCTTGATATAAACACAATATTCATTTCTGATTGGTTTAAAGTCACAATGTTTTTTACGTGAAAATGCCATGACATGAATCGAACCTGCAACTGCAAAGTTTTGTAACTCACTGTTTTCCTACTGACCCACTGGGGCAGGGGATGAAAACTTGTTCAGTTTTACATGTCATGACTCCAGCTGGTCCATGCTGCAAGTGTTTGTTCTAATATTACTTGCATTTAGATGGTTTATAAGTTGGATAAAACACGCCTCCTCAGTTTTGGTTTAAAATGTTAAAACTTGAGCAAGGTTTTAGATTTTCAAACAAAACTGAGAAGTTTGTTATATACTATACTTAAAACTGGACTTTTAAAGTCAGTTAACTTCCTTGCCTATGGAAGATGACAAGTACAAGCACAACACAACTTCCCCTTCATCATGTTTACATGATGAAACAGGAAATAGAGTTACGGACAGATTCTAATAAAGATCAGGCCACAATTTCCTCAACGCCTAATCCTATCAGTGGCTGCGACAACCAGCAGATACAGGTTACATAGCCCATGAGAAGAGCTGGAGTTTGTCACCAATCTGTCGCCACATGTTTGCTGCCATGATTCAAGGAAGTATTGGGACATGCTGATACTTGTGTTGTGACACAGTAACCACACCATGACGTCATGTAATGAGAAAAGTGGAAAGAGGATCTGACATCTGGCATGAAACAGAATTTTTGAATACTATTTTATGAATGTATGTTGAAGCACTTATGTTTACAAGCACACATACAACTTTTTGGGGGTGCACTTGAAATACAATTTGACGGAAAACAATATGATGTTGTTTGCCAAAACTTAGTCAATTAATTGTAATTCTTCTTGAAATCATGCCACCAAACGATTTAGTTTTGTTTTTTATTTGTCATAATGAAAGCAGGGTACACACTCCCTCTGAATCTGTGCATGGTTTACTTGAGTTTACACTGAGACCTAACTATAAAGATACTCATCATATCAAAATTATGTCTTAAAATACTTATACTCATACTTATCATGTCACAACTAATACTTGAATCATTACAGCCCTAAGAAGGAAAATTCAATCTGGATGCCCAAACATATCGTGGTATGTTTAATGTTTTTCTAATATCAAGGAAAAAAACAAAGCTAACAAATAACCAAATCATAAAAATGAATGGACCTTGGAAGAAAAACAATTGTTGAAATCTCAATGAAAAATCTCAATCATATATTGACAAAACAAAATAGTATATAATAAACACAGTGGAATGTTTGAGGCGCTTGCACAGCTTGTATGACGTTAAGTGTCACAGGTGCATGTGACTTCAATGTAGAATGGGGAAAGATATTGTTTTGTTCAGTAATGTAAATTTGTAATCATGCTACCATGGTAAACCAACTGAAGTAGCATACTAGCCTACAGCTGCCAACCTACAGAAGCTGAATAATGACCAACAGCTGCAGTCACTGAAATGTGTGACTTCACAAGTATGCAGTGGTTGATAGACACAATCATGTATCTACTTATTAGGGCTGGGACGAGTCCCAATTTACTACCCGGGTACCCATCCCTCCATTACCCGACCCTACACGGGTACCCGCTGTAGGTCCCAAATTTAGGTACAAAATGTCTGATTGGGAAAAGTTTGAAGTTTGTATAAACCTATCTGGTCATGCATAAGCTGAAGTTGACTGAAGCTTTATCTTTATGCAAACATATAAAGTCAGAAGGAATGTGTGCATAGTCAGAAAGAAATTTGAACATTTGTCACTTGTCGTGTCAACATAGAGTTCTAGATAATTTTTGCATTCAACAATATTATCATGTGACTAACCACGGGTATGGGTAGTGGGTACCCGGGTCCTACTCAGTACCCACCTGACCCGAGTACTCGTGTTACCCATCCCAGCCCCACTACCTACCGGTATCCGTTTATTCCTAATTGTCTGTTTTTAGAAGTTATCTGGCAGTAAATACAATACCAAAAACAGGCCACATTCTCACTGAATACCCTGGAACTAGCACACACTGAAGCATGATGTAAATATTGAACATTTGAGCACTAAACTTAACATCAGAGAGCAACAACACCTAGCAAGCTATTTGGTTGGAAGATCAAGGAGTTGCGGCAGCACAGTTCTAGTCGAATGAACCTCCGAGGCCGATTGATATGCTCTCATCCTTTGCATATGGAATGTACTCTAACGACCACAGCAAGTCTGTCGCCACGACTGGAACATAAAACATAAGTTGTGACATTGTTATGATCATGAGCACAGCTGTCACCATGGTAATTGCTGCCATGCTTCGTTCAACAATGTCAACTCTTTATAGTGGTGACTCAGTTACTTCATGGTGTGTCAAATCAATGTGGAGGGAAAACTTTGTTAAACACCACACAGTAAATAATCAAGTCTGGTTCAGACAATCCAGTGATTGATATTGTGAGCAACAACCCATGCCACCCGGGGTAAGGTGACACGCTATCAACCAAGTCACCGAGTCTGACCACCTGAATAATGTGCTCGCCTTTTAAAACAAACACAGATCTAACCCAGAATCCTAGCGGTGGGGGGAAGAAAGTCTAAAATGAGTGAGTGAGTGAGTATGGTTTAACGCCACTTTTAGCAATATTCCACTAATATCACTGCATGGGACACCAGAAATGGGCTTCACACATTGTACCCATGTCGGGAATCGAACCCTGGTCTTTGGCGTGATGAGCTACCCGACCGCCCAAGTCTAAATTGAGATAATTGTAGATGTTTATCACTTTGGTGAAAAACATATGTTCCGGTATGGTGCCATCAGACCAAGGATGGTAATCAAGGGAAATAAGGGGCTTGAACCCATGACCTGTTGGTTCTGGTACGGTTCTTGCAAACTGTACGTCACGTTACAACACCTTCGATCAGGTTGCCATCAAGCACACCACGACTTACATATCTCTCCCTCTTTTAGTGTCTCTGTCATGCTCTCACAGACAGTGTTGCAGGGATCCCGTGGCCGCACCGTCACCTGCATCGTCCCCTTCACCTGCGCCAACACCAACATCGACTGCGACATATCTATCTGTACAACAACAGCAGTGGGAGGGGGGTTATTCAATATATATCTGGGGTAGCGGAATGGTGTGTTTAAATATGTATTTAGTAATGAAATACTGTATTTAAACTGGAAAAATATAACTGAGAGTTCACTTCAGTGAAATAACACTTGATGCCGGAACTACTTTTATTCTGCTTCAAGGACACAAAGTTTTTCAGAGTAAGATGTAAATAATGTAATTTGATGTATCGCATGCCATAGTAAGACAAACACAAAACTCTGTTGTGATGATCCTAAAAGAATGAGATGCTTACTCGTTTGGGGACTTTCCCTGTATAATTGGAAGCTATGAAAACATGGTTGTTGATGCCAATCTCCACTGTAGGAGGCAGGAAGTAGGGCCGCTTGTAGAGATATCGGAACGCCTTGGCAGCATCCGGGAAACAGTTCTCCCTGAATCATAAATATATCGATGAGGCGGAGAAAACACACAAATAGCAACAGTACACCAAATCCATACACATATATGTGAATAGTCTTGACTACAAACCCACAGAACATCTAGTTTTTGAACATTTGACAGAATAACAGTTGTAAAACATCTTAATAAAATATAATAAAAAGGAGCCCAGAGACTCTCTTCATTTTCAGAAACTGCATTAATCTAGATATACCAAATATTATAATCCTGCATTGGCTTTTTTGGACATATTTGTTTCAGGTTCTGTAGAGAGGCTACTAGAAAGAACCAGTATAACTAATGTTACATGCAAATGGTGAGTCAACTGTCCATCAGGGCAACGACCCCTGAAGATCGGAGGTAGAATAGGTCTTCAGCAATATATGCTTTCCATAAAAGACAACTATGCTTGCTGTAAGGGGCGACTAACACTCTCAGGTGGTCAGGCTCGCTGACTTGCTTGATGCATGTCATTGTATCCCAGTTGCATAGATGATCATGATCATGATGTCAATCACTGATTGTCTAGACCAGACTTGATTATATACAGACTGCCATTATAGGTGACATTAATGCAGAGTATGGCGTTAAACATCAAAATATACCACACATCCACACATATCCAGAGATGCAAATTGGCATTCAGCCTCTAACCTGAATCAGCTTGTATAACCTTAAACTTGAAACATATAACTGGATCATAAACATATCACATATCTCAACTGCACTGCTTCAAACAGTTTGAGTTGGCAGTGAACACAAAACATGACCAGCAGAAATGTTTAACAGAAATCCAAATTGTGAACTGAGTACAGGTAGAGTGATTCCACCTACCAGTGGCCCAGTCGTCTAAGGCGCCGCGATTCGCTGTGCAGAGTTGCGTCCCTTGGGCACGCCAGAAACCTATGATTGTGGGTTCAAATTCCGGTTCGCCCCGATTATGTTTCTAGGTTTGTCAGCACCATACTCGTGCTCGTGGGTTTCACCGAAGTGGTAAATGTCTGAGACCTGCGTCACTTCGGGCTTTCCTCCCACATTAAGCTGACACGCCGTGATATAACTGGAATACTGTTAAAAGCGGCGTTAAACCCAACTCACTCACTAAGTCATTCCACCTACCAGTGTGCGAAGTAGTTGCTGACTTCCCCTTTGGCTGCCTTGTTGAGGAGCTTGCGGTGCTCCTTGTACTGTTGGCGGAGATTGCTGCTGAAGCCACAGCTGCTATGCTCTCTCAACACACTGCTCAACTGGTATGCCTGTGTACAAGAATCAAAAACAATTTCAGGACCATGAATATTTTGGGGATATTTATGAAAGAGTGTGCTCAGTCTTCATTACAAACAAAATTCCCAAAAATATTCACGATCCCCACCTTTTGTGTTCGTTATTGTTCACACACTTGTAACAGCTGGAATAAACATTGGAAAATCTTTATTTTTCATCATAAATGCTCAAGAAGGTGTGCAAGCAGATAAATCAAGTAGATAGCCAGAAATTCCAAACACTCTGACAACATCGGGGTCCGATGTCCCCCATGAGTTATGAGTAGATTATAAAATTTGACTTAATTATATCCTGAACATTCTCCTGATGCAAAGAACTCACTTCAGGGTATTCCTGATTCACTGACCAGTCAACTCACCTCAGCTATCTTGGCAATGCTGTATTCGTCTGGAGTAAGCCATCCCCTGGTCCCGTCCTCGACAATGACCGGGTGATCCCTTTTCAAGTACAGGTCTAGTATATCTTCCTTCTCCAAACTCGACACTCGTTCAATGCCAGTCAGACTCTCGCACATCTGCCATTACAAGAAGAAAACATGTATCCACATCTACCACCTGCCAAATGTAAGTCACTGAGTACTCAGGATATATTCGGAACAAAAAAGTTAGGGGTCATGAATATATCGGGATATTTTTAAGAAATTGTATGCTCCATCTGCATCCACTATAAAAAATATTCCCCAAAATATTCACGATCCCTAACTGTTTTTGTCCTGTATATAAAAACTCAAAGTCTGCTCATATGGACAGCACTAATGATAAACACTAAATTGTCTGGATTAATAAATGATGGTATGGCATGAATGGTGTATTGCCTATATAAATAGTGTTTCCCAAAAATGAACCATCTGCAAATGTTTTTTTTTTGAAGATTATTAACAATGGATTCATCAGACGGCTCCAATAATCAACATGAGTGAGTGAGTGAGTGAGTGAGTGAGTGAGTGAGTGAGTGAGTGAGTGAGTGATGTCTTGCTGCCCTTAGTGATATTCAAGCGACATAACAGCAGGGGAAACCAGAAATTGGCTTCTCACATTATACCTATTTGGGAATCAAACCCAGGCCTTTGGCATGACAAGGTATGCTTTAACCACAGACAACAATATTCCAACATCATCAATGCAGTGTGTAAATCTGAATAATTGAGTGTGGACCAGGCCATCCAGTAACTGATGACAAGCAGAGGATACTGGGGACCTCGTCTTCCCTGGAATCTCCCTGGAGTATCAATACGAGTAATGCTGTGATAATAAAATTGTGAGCAATATTAACTCTCCCAAGCAGTCCTCACCTCACAATCCTCCGACGTGAGCTGCCCACCGGTGTAGAGAGGGTTGTCCACAAGACAGGACGAGTGGTAGATCTTGGTCCAGTCCCACACTGGCAACACCTGCAGGACACAATACACTTTGAAGAGTAACGCTGATTAAGGGTGCAACAATAAGGAAGGTCCAGTATGATACGTTTCCTGATACACTGGTCACAATACAACACATATCTCGATAGGCCAGAATAACACAAAGGATATAGATGATGATTCCAACTGTAATGCTATATGTATATGGGGGATATTTGACTTTTGAGATTTTCATGAGTGACAGTGTCATTGAGATAGATTGAAAGTAGTTCTGACATACAGTGTTATTGAACTCTCTTGTTTGCCACCTAGGCTAAGACATGAATTTTATCAAAACATAAACATCTTTTAATATTCAACTATTTGTTAGATCATAACACGACGTAATAAATATCATTCAATAAATCCATTTCACATCTTTGATGTGTATTTCTTTCTTCATAGAAATAACCATGGTAACCCTGACAACGTTATCTTTAAAGAGTGAGTGAGTGAGTGAGTGAGTGAGTGAGTGAGTGAGTGAGTTGGGTTTAACACCACTTTGAATAGTATTCTAGTTATATCACGGCATGTCAGCTTAATGTGGAAGGAAAGCCCTGAGTGATTCAGGTCTCAGACATTTATCAGTTTGGTGAAACTCACGAGCATGGTATGGTGTTGACAAACCTAGAAACATACTCAAAGTGAATCGGGATTTGCGACCTCGATCATAGTTTTCTGGCGGGCCAACAAGAAGCACCTTTCCACAGCGAATTGCAGTGCCTAACAACTGGGCCACCCATCCCCCCATATTTCAGGAAACAGGCACCATAACACATGGTGCATACCTCATGAGCCTCATTGTGATAACTCCATGAATAGTTTACAATATATAAATCACCAAACCAAATCTGTTTACAAGGTAACTAATCATGCTAATAGGCTTGCTTGCACGACATCCCCTGTTAACATGGTTAATGAAACAATCCTATTCCAAGATGTACCAAAATTGTAAACTTTATGATCAAATAGTAACATTTCAAATGTTCATCTGACTGGTAATGAATATTTTTTAACTTTTCTTAAAAATACAAACATAATTATGACACCCTTGTTAAAATTATTAATTTGTACCCATAGATAATATGTCTCAGAAGATTCCCGAAGATATCCCTGTCTAACTAAGGTAAGACACACTAACCATATGCAGGAAGCTCAGGCAAGGTGAGCTACAAACATGACACAGTGTTGGACTGCACGTAGTTGTTGGGCACATCAATACCACATGGCAAAGTCAATGATCTTACCCAAAGATCAATATCCATTGTATTACTACTGTTACCGTATTCGACGTAATAAGCGCCCCGCTCTAATAAGCGCCCACGGCGATAATTGCTAACATATTGACTAGTGAACAATCCCAATTAGCACCCCTTCCGATTGATCAATGTACAAATACTTATTTATTCGCATATAATACACACTCGTGTGTTATATGCACCCTCAATTATGGGCAATGAAATTCTGGAAAAATATATCCGTCGTACATACAGTCCGTTTGACTCCAAATGAGAACAATGAATTGCAAAATAACTCGAAATCCAGAAAAGTGTATGAAACATCAATACGGTACTTGACAATGAATACCCTGTACCCAACAAAATCTGAATTTTGTTTATTTTAAGACCCATGACGGATGAAGTTCTTTAAGAAACTATCATGTAATTTTGTATAGAAATGTGTACATAACACGTAGGGGGACAAACCGTGGAAGGAACAGCGCAAGCACGGTCTGCACGTGCTACACAGTGACCGTGTTCATTCAATGACAAGATGCGCTACTCAGCAGATGTTAAACAGTTGATGTTGAATGTATATGATTTCTTTAGAAGTGAAGCAGCAAGAGCAAAGCCTTTTTATGCAATTAATAAATTCTTGAAACGAGCTTCAAAAGCTCTTGGTATGTCCCCTCAGAAACTAAAAAATGTTGTTAGTCGACGAGATACAAATAGTCAGGCCAAGGAGGTAGGGAACATGTCAAAGCCACGCAAGGTTGATAAATTAGACAGTTTTCAGAGGGATCAAGTCAGACGTGCAATTGTTAAACTGCACTCAGAAAATAAGTACCTGTCCCTAAGAATTTTGAAGAAACACCTTGAAACTGACCCTGATTTATGTGTTACAGAAGTACAAACTATGGCAGCTGTTGCATACATTTGGTTACAAATACAAAAAGATAACTGGAGAAAATAGGGCTGTGTTGTGTGAACGGTCTGACATTGTTCGTCTCCGAAATCATTACCTTCGTACCATCAAGCAGAAACTTGAAGAAGGATATTAGCCCGTCTTCTTAGATGAGACATGGGTGAATGCGTCACACACAGCCAGCAGTCAGTGGGTACCCAGTGGTGACTGTAAGGAGTCTGGTAGAAAGTTACCAATGGGAAAGGGTGAAAGACTCATAGTTCTCCATGCTGGTTCTGCTAGTAAGGGTTTTCTCCCAGACTGTGACCTCGTCTTTAGAGCCAAGGCCAAAGACAACAGGGACTACCACACAGAAATGAACGCCAATGTATTTCTGGAGTGGGTGAAAGATAAATTAGTCCCTGCTTTGCCTACCAAGTCTCTCATTGTCAAGGACAATGCACGGTGTCATAGTGTGCAGGATCCAGAAAGCAAGACTCCAACCTCTAATAACCGTAAAGGAGACATGGTTACTTGGCTGCAACGGAGGGACATTACCTTTCCTTCTCGAGCGACGAAACCACAGCTCTATGAAATCATCAAAACTATGAAACCTGACCCTGTGTATAAAGTTGACAGTTACATCAAGGGTCAGGGTCACGCTGTCTTACAACTGCCACCTTATCACTGCGACCTGAATCCAATCGAGTTGGTATGGGGCATCGTCAAGGGTGACGTTGGACGATCGAACACAACGTTCAAATTACGAGGCGTTGAACAACTCGTAAAGGAATCCCTTGGTCGGGTAACAGTAGAAACATGGAGGCGTTGTGTGGCCACAGTCGTTGACGAGATAGAGCCACGTTATTGGTCACGAGATGGACTATGGCCAGCAACAGGCCAACCTATAATAGTGGCAGTCGGTTCAGGCACCAGTTGTTCCAACGACGAGATCTATGGCATGAGCGAGTCAGATTGAGACGGCCCCTCTAACGCTCTGTCATTTCCCCTACCACAGAACGTGCAGTGCATGCGTGCTTGCGCTGTGCCTTCCACGGTTTGTCCCCCCTACGTGTCATGTACACATTTCTATACAAAATTACATGATAGTTTCTTAAAGAACTTCATTATGTTCATCCGTCATGGGTCTTAAACATGTTAAAATAAACAAAATTCAGATTTTGTTGGGTACAGGGTATTCATGGTCAAGTACCGTATTTATGTTTCATACACTTTTCTGGATTTCGAGTTATTTTGCAAATCATCGTTCTCATTTGGAGTCAAACAGACTGTAAACATTTCAGGCTGTCAGCATAAACCACAGAATTTATCTTTCAACTCTGTTTTTTTCCACCAAAATAATATTCTAATAAGAGCCCCCTATTTCTAATTTTGAGAGCGCCCTGGGCGCTTATTACGTCAAATACGGTATATTCAGGGGTATGTATTACTACTGTTATATTCATTGGTACATAACAGAATATGTCATTTACTGCATTAGAAAATGAAAGATGAGGTGTACAGCCTTGATATGTTTATAGATTGTAAATTCTGTTTTGCAGGAATGGGAAATTGTGTTTAATCAGCATGATCAGTGTGTCTGCATTATTGCTAATAAAAGATTACGGTACACATGCATTATACCGGACTGCTATCCGCCATGTTGGATGCTACTAATCAAGGCTAATGAAGCCCTGGACTGTATATCTATTTGAAAAATAGGGCCATTTGTGTGGTTTAATAATGATTAAACCTTGAAATTGAATATCAAAGCGATGCATAAACGTTAAAAATTGGACATCAACAACAAATTGTATGGTCCCTAATTTCTTTTCAGTAATATATTTGGAAACAAATTTTAATGTATAAATTATTCCTCGAACAATCTAATCAGGCTAATTAAATGTGATATAAAGTATTACGGGGCATGCTGATGGTAATTAATGTAATTAGTATTAATAACTGCTCCTTTGAATGTAATGTTTCCAGCCCCAACCCATCCACTGGTAGAATGCATGGTGACAGCATGCTGCTACCTGTATTATAAACCTATTCATTGGGATCCCTATTAAGTAAGAGACTTCTTTCTATAGGCATTAAAACCTATTGTGAGGTTTTGCTTTCCAGTCGGGTTAAATCTCATAAACAGGGATGTTGTAATGTCCCTGGGATTTTACCGGTATATAATATCCCAGGGATTTTATAGGATATTCAAGTCATATTTGCTATAATATCCCAAGGATTTTATAAAATGTCATGGGTATTTTATTAATATAACTTCCGTTCAGATTGTAACATGTAATGAAATGTAAAATCAAATGACAAATGTTTTCTTTATATTCCTGAGGATCGAACTCGCAACCTTCATATCTGTAGCCCAGTGAGTGTACCACGAGGCTACAAAGGTGTTGATAAGACTCACTGGTTTTTAGAATGTCCTTTTCAAGAACTGTACGCCAGCAACAGATATTTTACACGCATTTCCTAAGGTTCATGGAAAGTATGTTCGAAACATAAAAATGTTGATAAATGTTGTTTTAAGTTTCTTTTTTCGGTTTATAAGTATGGAAAAACACTTTCCCTCGGTTTTGGTAGACAGAGCATGCCCTGGGGGTCGGGAAAAACCGCGAGGGCTTCGCCCCCTTGGTTTTTCCCTCTCCCCAGGGCATGCTCTGTCTACCAAAACCTCGTAAGCGTGTTTTCTCCAATTCTTCATGAACAGTTAGGGTTGTTTCAGAGGTTAGATCAGCAAGAAAACTCAATCTTGATAGTATTGATAATGATAGGATGAGACGTGCAGGGGTAAAGCAGACACAAGGAAATGCAAACTTGTCACAGGATCACAGAGTACACTACCAAAACGATATAAA